GTTCTTTCTCCATAGTTGTAAGTCGAGCGAATAACTGCTCGAGTGCGGCAGTGCCGATTGTAGTTGTCGCCTCATTTGTCGCAGCCGGGTTGGTTTGTCCTTCAGCCGTCAGATTTGTTTGGCCTCCGGATCCTCCGGCCATCTTGGTCTTGGAGCGTGTGCCTCTCGCCAGATTTTGGTTCGGCGAATTTCACGGAAGTGAAGTTGCGAAGAATCCCAGAGTAGCTCTCATACCATGTTACAATCCCAAGTGGGACTTAGCGAAGGATCGCTCAGGGTTGATCGCAGAGTAGTGTTGCAGCGGAAGTTTGAATCTCAGGTCAGAGTGAATGTAAATGACTGAGTTGATAAAAGCATGCATACATCGGATTTATATAAGAATACAGGGGAATACGAAAAGACCTCGACTAGCCACGTACTCTAAGGGGTACATTCCCTTATTGCAGCGAAATTCAAACCGTGCGGCGCGGGAACCCGTTTCAAACCTGTTCCCGCTCTTTTCACTTCAAATGTTTCTGCCTGCATCGGTCTTGGTCAGACGGTTGCTGCGTCGCTTCGACTCTTCTGACTCCTCGACTTCGTACTCGGTATAGTCGGCTCCTGCAGCATACATGAATGCATACTCATGTAATTTCATATCGCAACAAATATTATACAGCGAACATCACAGTATTAGTTTCGTGCGGGATGTTCTAACACCACCGCACCGTATTTCACCGCGAGGTGTCCATCGATCCAACTGCTTGAGTTTTGCGCAGATTGCCCGCAAACTGTTCGCTGTCAACCCGAACCCAAAATAAGGTAACTGCGGGTGATCATTGGCAGCTCGGAAACAGAGGGCAATTAGAAAAAAAAACGAAATGCAAACTGCAGGGAAACGATATCGCCGAGCTAACCACCGGCTGTTTCCCAGCACACACCAGCAAAGTTGCGATGTTCTGACTCCTCGGCTTCGTACACTTTAGAATCGGTCCCTGTAGCATACAGGAATGCCTTCTCATAAAGTTTTCATATCGTAACAACACCCAACCTAGTGTTAAACGCTTGTAAATATGAGACGCGAGCTTTAACCAGCTTCTCTACCAGATATTTTGTGAATGCTTGAGTGTAATATATTAAAGGTAGTTGTATTTTAAGATGTAAACATGACATAAATAATGGCTTAGTTTGCCGGAACGAGTCTGCCCACAAAGGCAGACCAGAAAAATCGGAGAGAAACGCCGTCTCGTGCTTGTGGTGACTGGCGTTCGTCAACAAGGTGTTGGCGCAAGCTTCCATTGGTTGCGAATTGTGCCGAATCTAGGCGATGACATCCAGCCTCCAACCGCTGTAACTACAGTCGTCGCGAGGTAGGATGATTTTGGATTTCAGAACAAGTTCAGCGTAAGACAAATCAGCCTGTTAAAAAGTCCTGAATGCGTTACATGCCAACAGCTGGCCAGGACAAGTTTCAAGAGCCAACATGCCAGCTGCACACGCTTGGCTGGTCTTGGATCACAAACTGAGTTTCTAGGGTGCTGATCAGCCACTCAACCATGTATCAAGAAAGTGGTACTGAAACTTCCTTGTTTCACAAGGAAGGGCCTCTAAAAGCCAGAACACCGCGCCCCTCGTGGAGTGTCGATGCATTGGGACGCGTTTCTCACATCCCATGACACTGGGTGGGTATGTACTCAGATTGTTCATATAAGTCTTGCTCCGCTGGAGGCAGCGCCTCCGAAGGAGCGGAACTCCGAGAGCCAGTCAAAGCTCAACCATATGGAATTTCAGTCCGGGGTCCTTGAGGGTGTGATGTTTGTTGCAGCGAGATGACCTTGTAAACACTGATGGAAGAAGCTCTCCACCCTCTGGACTTAGCGCGGGCAGGGTGTCTGCATTGTTTTTGGTACAAAACCAACTCGTTTGCGGGTGCTCCGACGCTTTTTGGTACAAAACCAAATCACCCTTTCTCGTCAATACAGCGGCTGTTGTGATCCATTGATGGTTCTAGTTTCTGGAGCACCGCACCACCACTTGCTCGGACTGGAAACAGGGTTACAGAAACAAGTACGTTGGGTCACCCAGATTTCTAGTTGCAGCTCAGACGAATTGTGCTTTCTGCCGGGCCGTACGGAAGCTACCCCAACCCAACTCAAGATCACTCCGTCCATGCATTTGCAGAATCCTTCAAGTTTTTGGCTGCTGACGCAGCTGCAAATGCACTCTGTTACCAGACAACCCAAGAATCAGCTGCATTTATTTTGTTTTTTTTTTTCGGAATAAAGAAATGTTATTCAGCTCTCGAGTGCACTTGATCTACTCAACCATCGCGTGCTACTCTAGTGAGAACAGCGTGCAGACGACAAAAGAAAAAAAAAAACTAGGATCTCGAAGCTTCTTGTATCAAGAATCCGCATTGTGAACTGCACCATGAAGGCTTCACAAATGTCAAGTCATTCGAAAAAGACACATACACCATCATGCGGGCAGGTTCTCACAATATCCTGCCCTTCCAAAGTTTACCTGGGAATGAGGCTCGTCATCACCACCAGTCATCCCTCACTTGGCTTTCCAAACCACACGCCATTTGCCTAACGATAGCTCGCGTCGTAGGGTAGATCGTGCGGTCACAAAGCGAGGTCCGCTTGGCTCGGGCCAAGCTGGTAAGGGCAGCACTCATGCCCTGGTACACAATCTGGAAAGAGCAAACCCCCTCATCAGTTGAATCGTGGTGCCCGAGGAGTCAGGGGGGGCTGGCTCAGAGGAACTTGAAATGATGACCATGTGGTGGTTTAGGCTGTTTTGAACTTTTGAGGTGCTCTTGCGCGTCCTTAGTTGCACAGCCCACCTTTAATCCACCCTTGGTGCTGTTGGTAAATCTATGTGCCATGTGCCATTCTCACGGCCACACCGTCTCTTGAAAGGCTGATACAAGCGATAGTACTTTCTGCGAACAGTCAAATCACGAGCTAAGGCGGGGGCATAATTTTAAAGGGTGCCGCTACCAGCAGTCAAGTTCATAGTAACAGTCTCGCCACTTTTCCTGGAGTAGTAGTTATTTTAAGATTGGTCATTCGGCAATTTAATGCCTCGGAGGTTTTTACGACACGTTCGTTTCAAGTGCTGCCGAATCGCCGTAACCCTAATTCAACAGGTACTGTTACCACTATAAACGAGGCGCCAAGTTTTTTCATACGAAAAGAAAAAAAAGAAAAACAGAGACAAAAACAAAATAAGAAGATCCGGAAAGTTTTGCGGCATACCTTTTTTCTTTCGTAATAAGGAAGATCTAGCATAGACGAAAAAAACTTGGGCCACCGATCTTAAAAGGACCAGACTTAGCTTTTGGGTTACTAGGGTTGGGTCAGAACATTTTGGAGATGGAAAGATTCTGGATCAACCTTCCAGTGGCATGCATCAAGGGAAGGTCGAAGCGGCAGGAAGCTTCTCTGCAGGTGCTTGTGGATCACCCGAGTTGCTGCCAATGACCCATCGGATGGCACGTCGCTGTGCCACGGGGGCACCGGAACGGCTATCACGCCCATAACGGGGGGACACCGTCGAAACCCAGCTATTGGATGGCAGCAGTTTAAACTCGTCCAATCCATTCTCACTCTCCTCTAATGCCCAAGCGCTATCCATGCAAAGCGCCTTCTTCCCTTGGTTGGTGCGGGCACACTTTCTCCATACCTCCCCCTCTTTCCTCCCCCCCCCCCCCCCCTCCTTTACCCTCCCCGCCACCACATCCGTTCCCTCTTCCCCTCCTCCTCCCTCCCCCCTCCGCCCCTCTTTCTCTCTCTTTCTCTCTCTCTCGCGCTCGCTCTCTCTTTCGGTTCCCTTCTCTACCCCCCCGTTTCTTCCCAATCTCCTCCAGAGTTGGAACCCCGCATTGGCACTTTGAAGTGGAAAATACATATTTAAGGTGGAACCTGCAGATCGACCGAGCAGACTCTCACTCCCCTCATCTCCGTCCCCCATTCCCCCGGTTTTCAAACCTTCTTTCCCTGTCGTCTTTCCTCTCCCGTTTTGCAGTTCCGCTCATCCTCCCCCACTTGCAACCACTAACCCTAGTAGCGCACCACTGCTGCTACCACACTTGGTCAGCCGCTTTGCACGCTGACAGCCTGTCGCCAAGGTCAAAGCGGTGTGAAAACAGGATCAAGTCGCCTCGCATTTTTTGTGCTGCATGCTGCTTTTGGCACACCGAAGGGTTTCGGAAACTGCGCCGAGGGCCTTCCAGCTTCTTTCCTCTGCCGCCGCCGCCGCCGCCGCTTCCGCCGCCGCTGCTCCTGCAGCTGCTGCTGTGGGTCCCGTGTGTGCTCCTCAGGTTTCACGATTTTCACACTGCACGGCACTGCTCGAGACTCTCTGCCTTGATCCTCCCAGTTGTGTGCCTTTCATGCACATGCACGAGTGCCACTTGTTTCTGGCTCTTCCCTTGCTTCGAAATGGAAGATTGCCAATCGCCTTGTCGCAATGCTGATGAAGCCGATGCTGCTGCTGCTGCAGATCCGCCTGCTCCAGTGCTTGATTTTCCAGCACCAGGCGGAACAGCCACCGTTCTCAACAGCTCGCTTAGGCTTTTTGGGGTTGGGATCCGAGAATCCCAGCCCGTACCACATGACCCCTTTCCTACTGATCCTGCTATTGCTTCTGTTGCCTTTTCAGCAACAGCTGCTTCCCTTGCCCCCGATGCCGCTGCCGCTGCTGCTGCCGCTGCTGCTTCTGCTGCTGCCACTGCTATTGATCGTCCTGGAGTGGCATTCAGCGGCGGCACGGATTCATCAGATGCTCTTATCAGGGTTAGTTCTAACTGCCACACAAACCCCAACGCTAACGTCAACACCACTGAGCACGGTCCCTCCACACGTGCTGATGCTGCTGGGCTCGTTCCTCACTCTCTCATGCCCGCCGATCATGGTACCCATGCCTCATGCTCACTCTCAACTTTTCAACCGCCCAGATTTTCTCGGCCCGATGCCGTATTGCTCCGTGCCCGGAAACGGCCAAGGCTTTCGGACATGTGGGCTGGCCCGGATTTCCATGTTCTGTGCTTCTCATCTGCTTCTTCCACGCAGAACCCTCTGCCTTCCTTGTCATCGTTCCTGCCATCAACATATGCAACGCCACCAGCAGCAGCAGCAGCAGCAGCAGCAGCAGCAGCAGCAGCAGCAGCAGCAGCAGCAGCAACCGCAGCCGCAGCAGAAGCGCCGGCAGCAGCAGCAGCAGCAGTAGCAGCAGCAGCAGCAGCAGAAGCGCCGTTAGAAGCTGCAGCAGGGATCGCAACGGCACTAGAAGCTTCAGCAGCAACAGTACAAGTGCCATCACCATCTTCTTGCTCCTCATCCTCGTCCTTTCTGCTCAGCACATCTCCCAGCTTGCACTTTCCTCCTCCTCCTCCTCCTCCTCCTCCTCCTCCTCCTCCTCCTCCTCCTCCTCCTCCTCCTCCTCCTCCCTCCCCTCCTCACTCCTTCCTGCCTTCATTCCAGCATCATTCAGTCCCCCCCAGCATCAACAACAGCTTGACACTGGAACTCTCCCCAAGAACAGTCACCCCGAGAGTGTTCACGTCTTCGCGCCTTTTCCCACACTCTGCCGAAACATTTTTAGAGGCGCGTCAAAACCCATCGCTGCAACCACCACCACCACCACCGCACGCTTCCGAGGCCTGTGATCCTAGCGAGCTGCAAGGAGCAGGGCATGCTCCTACCTCCCTGCTGCCAAGTAAGCTGCACACCTGCTTGATTGTCTTGGGGTTGCAACGTTTTCCTATTCCTATTCCTATTCCTATTCCTATTCCTATTCCTATTTCTATTCCAACTCCTCTCACTCTTCCTCTCCCTCTCCCTCTTCTTCTTTGTTTTCCACCCACCCATGCCCCACCCCCTTCTGATCAAGTGTATGTTCCCCTCCTGTTCTCAACCCCATTCTCCATCTCTCAAACCACTCTGCTACCATCACTCACCACCCCTTAATTCCCAATTCCTCTTCGTCTTCTCCCTCCCCCCCCCCCCTCCCCTCTCTCTCGCACCCTCCTTTTCTACTCCCTCCTGCAGCGTCTAGTCGCGCACAAGCCTATCATGACACGCCAAGCAGCCCGGACCCGGTCAACACCAGCCACAACAGAAGCCGCAGCGACGTCCCGTCCCTCCCGCCGCTCAACGCCCTCTCGTTCTTCCTCCAGCACCCGGCCTTTGCATTTGCCTCTGCGGGCGGGTTCGAAGAGAGGAACGAAGAGAGGAACGAAGAGAGGAACGCGGAGCATCACGGAGACCTGGCAGAGGGATCTGAAGGGCCAGGATCCGCAGCCAGAGCAGCAGCAAACGCATCAGGCACCGTGAATGATTCACGGAACATTCCATCTATCTGGCACTGGCAGCAACACAGGGAGCAGCAGCAGCAGCAGCAGCAACACAGGGACCAGCAGCAGCAGCAGCAGCAGGAGGAGGAGGAGGCGGAGGAGGAGGAGGCGGAGGAGGAAAGAGAGAGGAGGCAGGTGAGCAGGGTACAGTGGAAGCACCACCGCCATGCACCAGGCACGGATGGGAACCTTCAATTGGATCAACACAATGACTGGCACTCCAGCCATCACAGCAGACCCGACCGTCAGGTGAATGCGCGTCCATTTTCTTGAATCCCTTCCCCCGTCTCCTCGTGCGTTTATTTTCCTGTGAGCTTCCCTGCCTGCCTGCCTGCCTGCCTACATGCCTGCCTGCCTGCCTGCCTGCCTGCCTGCCTGCCTGCCTGCCTGCCTGCCTGCCTGCCTGCCTGCCTGCCTGCCTGCCTGCCTGCCTGCCTGCCTGCCTGCCTGCCTGCCTGCCTGCCTGCATGCGCCTGTCGTCTTCCCTGCACACCCATCCTTCTCATGCTACGTCCCCCCTCCCCTCTCCCTCACTCCCTCCCTCCCACCTGCCTACATCTCTCCCTTGCTGCCTCCCTCCCTCTCCCTCTCCCTCTCCCTCTCCCTCTCCATCTTTCTCTCCAGGAAATCTATTCTCACGGCAGAGGCAGAGATCAGTATGACAGCAAGGGTAAGCCCCCCCATGTATCTCTCTCCGTGGGAATGTATACCTGCACCTGTGGCTGTGGCTGTGGCTGTCGTTGTATCTATGGCTCTAGCTGTGTCTATAGCTGTGGTTGTAGATGCACCTCTAGCTGTCGCTGTAGCTGTATTTGTAGCTCTGGCTGTAGCTGTGGCTGTAGCTGTGCTGTGGCTGCTTCTGTCCCTGCGGCTCTGGCTGCAGAGAAGAGCAGAGCGTGGGTGGAGAGAAGAGGAGAGCGTGGGTGCAGAGAAGAGGAGAGCGTGGGTGCAGAGAAGAGGAGAGCGTGGGTGCAGAGAAGAGAAGAGTGTGGGTGCAGAGAAGAGGAGAGCGTGGGTGCAGAAAAGAGAAGAGCGTGGGTGCAGAGAAGAGCAGAGCGTGGGTGGAGAGAAGAGAAGAGAGTGGGTGCAGAGAAGAGGAGAGCGTGGGCGGAGAGAAGAGGAGAGCGTGGGTGCAGAGAAGAGCAGAGCGTGGGTGCAGAGAAGAGCAGAGCGTGGGTGCAGAGAAGAGCAGAGCGTGGGTGCAGAGAAGAGCAGAGCGTGGGTGCAGAGAAGAGCAGAGCGTGGGTGCAGAGAAGAGCAGAGCGTGGGTGCAGAGAAGAGCAGAGCGTGGGTGCAGAGAAGAGCAGAGCGTGGGTGCAGAGAAGAGCAGAGCGTGGGTGCAGAGAAGAGCAGAGCGTGGGTGCAGAGAAGAGCAGAGCGTGGGTGCAGAGAAGAGCAGAGCGTGGGTGCAGAGAAGAGCAGAGCGTGGGTGCAGAGAAGAGGAGAGCGTGGGTGCAGAGAAGAGCAGAGCACACCATGCGTGTGCATCCCACCTCTTGGTGACAGGGATTCTTGCCTTTGCCAGAACTTCTAAACAGGGGCTAGATCCATTAGGCTGGTTAGCCTTGCTTCGTTCCTGGTTGTTTGTTTGTCTGCTCGGCCTCTTCCCATCTGCCACCTCCCTCCCTCCCTCCCTCCCTCCCTCCCTGCTCTCCCTCCCTGCTCTCCCTCCCGACTTCTCTTCCCACCCGTGCAGGGTTGGGCTCAGCACTCTCTTTAGACCTGACTTTGCATGCTGCACCGGCCAGTAACCCATTGCACCACTCTACAATCGATGGGACTCCACCCGACAATGCCAAGACCAGTCTAGCAGCCTCAGATTCACCTGAAGGGATGCGCATTGGTGATGGTAGGCGGACTGCTCGTATCCGGGCTGCACATGATGCCACTGCTGCCATTGCTGCCGCTGCTGCGGCTGCTGCTGCTGCTGCTGCTGCTGGTGATGATGCTGGTGGTGCCGATGCTGGAGGTGGTGGTGGTACGCAACAGCTGCTGCAGCAGAAGCAGCAGCAGCAGAATCATCATCAGCAGCAGCATCATCATCATCAGCAGCAGCAGCAGCAGCAGCAGCAGCAGCAGCAGCAGCAGCAGCAGCAGCAGCAGCAGCAGCAGCAGTGGTGGTGGCAGCAGCAGCAGCAGGAGGGGGAGGATTGGGAGGAGGATTTGGGGGTGGAGGAGGATTTTCAGGAGGATGATGAGTCTACTGTGCATTTTCCTCTGAGTGACGGTTTTAGAACCAGCAACTCACAAGTCCCAGCAGACGCGAAAACCGCACCAGCGGCAGCAGCGGCAGCAGCAGGAGCAGCACGATCAGCAGCGGGAGGAGCCAGGAGTCAGAACAGTAGCAGGAAACCAATTCAGGGGCAGATTAGAAGCCAAGGGGACGTGGCAGGGAGGAAAGGTCAAGAATTTATCCAAGGGCAAGCAAGAAGCAGCAGTAGCAGCCAAAGTGGAGAGAGCAGCAGTCAAAGCGACAAGAGTAACAGCCAAAGCCGGCACCACAGGACACGGCAAGTCCATAAGCCCAGAGAGGATTACAGGGTTGAAGTTGACGCAGAAGGGGGAAGGCCCGTCCCTTCCATGGCCAGCCGTCTGATGCCCTCTTCCCTTACAAGGAACGCTTCCCAGCTGCTTGCTGCTTCCACCGCTCCTGCTACTCATGCTGCGCCTATGCGTCCACCTTCTCGTGCGGCAGCAAGTGGGACTGCTCCTGCTGCTTCAGCTTCTGCTGCTACTGCGGGTCGTGTGAGCTGCAGTGCAGGTGCCAGTGGTGGTGGTATGATCAGCACACAGAGTAACAGGCATCGGTGGTGGCTGGATGGGGAGGAGGCTAGAGATCGGATGGTAGTTGAGAGAGGGGAGCACGGAGGAGGTGTGCAGGCGAGGAGGCTAGCAGGAGGAGATGGGGGAGAAGGAGGCGAGGGAGGAAGAGGAGGTGGAGGAGAGAGAAGAAGAAGAAGAGAAGGAGCAGCAGAGGAAGGGGGAGACGGAACAGAGAGGAGTGAATCGGATGGATGGGGCATGAGAGCGGATGGGTTGAATATGAGGGTTGGGAGGCCGACTGATACTCGCCATGCAAGCAGCACATTGCAGAGAGGAAGCATACAAAATAGCAACAGCTCATGGTTACAGGGTAACGCTTCAGTACGGAGTGAGATGAGAGGTGAAGGGGCTACCAGAGGGGGCAGGGATGGCGTGTCAGGGATTGAAGCGGGAGGGATGGGAAGTGGCAACATGTGGTTTGTACCACGTGCCCAGTCGTTAGCAGCACAGCCTCTTATAGCAGAATCGTTGCAGCAAAGGCTGCGTGCTGCCGCTGCCACTGCTGCCGCTGCTCCTGCCCCTGCTGCCTCTGCCGGTGCTGCTTCCAATGCCACTTCGTTTCGCTTTATTGCTGGGTTTGCTGCTGCCGGTGCTACTGCTGCTGGTGCTGCCACTTCCGTTTGTACTGTTGCTGCTGGTGGTGCGAGTGGAAGCAGTGGGTTGGGGTTGAAGTGCAGTGGTGGCTTTGTAGGTGGGGAAGGGACTGGTATGGCCGGCCGAGGTATGGTTGGAGTGGGGGCTGGGATGAGCGGAGGTGGGGAAGGGACGAGAAACGAGTGGGAGGTGGTAGGGTCTGCAAGTGGAATGGAGGAGGATGGAAGCAGGTGCTCAGATGAGATAAGAGGAGGAGGAGGGGGAGGAGGAGGGGGAGGAGGGGGAGGAGGGGGAGGAGGGGGAGGAGGAGGGGGAGGAGGAGGAGGAGGAGGAGGAGGAGGAGGAGGAGGAGGAGGAGGAGGAGGAGGGGAAGGGAGTGAGAGAGGGGGAGGGGGAGGGGGAGGGGGAGGGGGAGCTGGAGGGGGAGGGGGAGGGGGAGGTGGTGGGGCGAACAAAGGGGGAGCACCTAGAGCAGGATGGGGAGCAGTAGCAGGCACGGGTTGGAGTTTAAGGGGAGGAGCAGGGGAGGAAGGAGGGCGGGTGTTGCAGCGTGTGCAAGCCACATGCTCAGGTTACTCAGGCGCTGTTGTTGGTACGCAGAATGCTCACTTTTATCGCGCTATTGATATTCCCTCTCTCCCTTCCCTTCCCTTCCCTTCCCGTCCCTTCCCGTCCCTTCCCTTCCCTTCCCTTCCCTTCCCTTTACTCCTCTCCCACCACATCTGCCCGTCTTCCCCCCTCCACTCCCAACATGCTTCTTCTAACCCTTCCTGCCTTCATTGCCAATTTCTCATCCCCGTTCACCACAATACAACCTGCAAGCTTTTGGCGCAATTCAATGCAATGTATGATCGGCACACAGACACAGACACACACACACACACACACACACACACACACACGCACCCACGCACGCACCCACGCACGAACGCACGCACGCACGCACGCACGCACCCACGCACGCACGCACGCACGCACGCACGCACGCACGCACGCACGCACGCACGCACGCACGCACGCACGCACGCGCGCGCGCGCGCGCGCGCACACGCACACGCACACGCACACGCACACGCACACACGCACACATATATCTGTACAACACCATCTTTCCGCGTCCCTAACACCCACCGCTCCATCGCTCCATATGTACATGTGTATATAAATATGGCGATGGTGTGTGAGCAGAGGGGGAGCTTCGGGAGACAGAGGGGGGGAGGCTGGTGATCGTGTGTGACTGCCATGGCGTGCAAATGTCTCTCACCCGCTTCACCCAGGTGACCCCTCACCCGCTTCACCCAGGTGACCCCACACGTCACGTCGCCCCTGCTTCCGTGCTCCATCTCCCAGTTTGTCCCTGAAGCTCCAGCCTCTTGTGGACTTACCAGATGAAACTCGTCCTTGTCCTCTCATGAGGGCAGATGTGCCCTGTGCTTTGCATGCTTGCCTGACAGCTTGTTTGTCTTCTTGTCTGCATAATTGCCTGGTTGCCCGCACGTCTCCCTCGCTCCCAGCTTCCTGCTTCGTTCCCTTCCCCCCTCCCTCCCTCGCTGCCTCCCTGCCGCGCTGCCTCCCTGCCCCCCTGTTGCCCTCCCTTCCTGCCTCCCTCCTCCCTCCCTCCCTCCCTCCCTCCCTCCCTCCCTCCCTCCCTCCCTCCCTCCCTCCCTCCCTCCCTCCCTCCCTCCCTCCCTCCCTCCCCCCCCTCCCTCCCTCCCGCCCTCCCTCCCTCCCTTACCAATTTATCCCCCCTTCTCTCCATCCCACTCTCCCTCTCACCCAATTCACTCATCATCACACTCTTCTCATCTCTCCACCTTCCATCTCCCCATCACGCGCAACCCTTCAGCATGCGGGCAGGGAGGACCGCAACCCGGGCACAACAATCTTTATAGACGGGCGCACGCTCACCCAGTGGAGGCGGGCCAGACAGGGCACGTGAGCCGGTGAGGTAGACTGTTGAGTCGACTTAAAAGACAGGGAGGGTCGCAATTCTGTCACAACCATCATTGTAGACAAGCGCACGCTCACCCAGTGGAGGTGGAGCAGACAGGGCACGTGAGCCGGTGAGGTTGTAAAGAAGGTGTGGAGGAAGAGGGACGAGATGAAAGGCTTGGGAATGCTGACGAGGGGGGTGAAGGGGTGAGGAAGGGAAGGATAAAGGGGAGGTGGTAATGAGGAGAAAGGGGCTCTCTTGGCAGCCGTGGTGGGAGAGAGGGCACACTGCTTTTGCAAGTGAAAAGGTGATCCCTGCATTGGCTGGTAGCGCACAGTAGCTTGTGCGCACAGCAGGGAGTGGCAGGGAGTGGCAGGGAGTGGCAGGGAGTGGCAGGGAAGATGAAGAAAGGGTGGGGGGGGGGTGGTGGAAGAGCCGTCTGTTGCTAGGCTGCCACGGTAGCCTTGCTTTTTTCCTCCTCTTCATTTAGGTTTTTCCCCCCTTTCCCTTTTGTGTGTGTGTGTGTGTTTTTTTTCCTTTTTTTTTCCCTGAGTTTTAGCTACCTAATTCTTCGAACTTCCAACTTCGCGCCCCTCACGATCTGCTCAGCATCCTATGGCTTTTGTGGGGGTTGTAGTGTCGTGCTGCTGGGATGCCATGTTACACGTGTTGTAGTTCTAACATGAGTTGGTAAGCTTCAATCCCTAAAAGGACAATATACTGCACCTAAAATTGATAGTTCTAGCAATCTTAGTTTGCAAGTGAAACATAATTCCTAGCAATGCCTAGAGGGGTTGGATTCTTCAATATTTGCTGAAGTATCCCATTTTAAGCATCACAACTTCAACCATGAAAAGGCTCCAGGCATCAGGTTCTGCAGTTTCGTGGTGACTAGTGAAGATCCTCAGCTGCTATTGTCAAGATAGCAAGCAGGAAAGTACTAACTCTAACATTGGGTTGTACCCTATACAGGCTACCCCACTATAGCCTACACAGAACTAGCATATATATAGTTTGACACACCCCCATAGGCAAAGTGGGGGAGAACAAGGGGTCACAAGACCAGTCAAGTAGAGCAAAGCAAGCTCAAGGTGGATCACAACGTCACCACACACTCCGAGCACAAGCAAAGGGCCACAGGGCCAGTTCACATGCAGAGGTATATATGCAACAACAACAGTACAGTGATCACTACCTAGCAGGAGTAGGCATGCGGTATACAATATAGATCAGTACAAGCAAAGTCTACAGCAAGTGAGGAAACGTATGCACCAGGCCTAGAGCAGTGCAGAAGCGCTGATGATCACCAGCCGGAAGGGCCTTGGTGAACACATCAGCCGTGTTTGCCCGGGTGGGCACGTGAGCGACACGAAGCTGACCACGCTGCTGCAACTCTCGAGCAAGGAAGTAACGCAGAGCGATGTGCTTCGTTCTGTGCTCCAGTCTGTGGTCCTGACACAAGGCAATGGCAGCCATGTTGTCGACGTACAGAACTGGAGGAGAACGAGGCCTCTCTCCCAAGTCGGTCAGTAGGTAGGTGAGCCAGCGTAACTCCTGTGCAGCCATGGCTGTGGCGTAGATCTCAGCCTCACAACTGGAACTGAGAACAGAAGACGAGCGAGTAGACCGCCAAGAAACAGAGCCAGAGCCAAGGCTGAACGTGTACCCCTGTGACGACCGCTGCGTAGCCAGGTCGTCAACCCAAGAAGCGTATGAGTGCCCAGTGACGACAACTGAGCTCCGCCCTCCAAGCACGAGCCCCATGCCCGATGTACTGCACAAGTAGCGTAGTACCCTCTTCGCAGCATCGAAGTGCACCTTTCCGTGCCTACCAGGAGCCACGTAGCGTGCCAGAAGGCCAAGAGGGTACGCAAGGTCAGGACGAGTGCAGGTCATCAGGTACATGAGGCAGCCCACTAGCTCTGGGTACGGACCACTCGGCTCTACGGACTCGTCCGAAGGTGGAGCTGAGAGCGAGTGACCTGTAGCCAGGGGAGTGGACTGTGGCGAGGACCAAGTGAAGCCGAAGCGCTGAAGGACCTGCTGCACCATGTGTGACTGAGTCAGTGTGATGGTGCGCCGTGCTCTGTCCCGGGTGATCTGTAGGCCGGTAGCTGCGCAGCTCACCCAGATCTGTGCGCGTGTGTCTCTTCTGCACCTCCGACTTCACAAGGGCGAGAGCCTCAGTGTCAGCAGTGGCAAAGACCAAGTCGTCGATGTACACGAGGATGTAGAACGGCGGCAACGAAGTGTCGATGCGCAGAAACAGCGACGGGTCAGCAGTGGAAGGTGCAAACCCAAGAGCCGCAAGTGTCGTCCTCAGTGTGTCGTGCCACTCACGAGGCGCTTGACGAAGACCGTAGACCGGCCGGCGGAGGCTCCACTGGGTACCAGGAGGGAACGACCCAGTGAAGCCAGGTGGGCGGCGCAGCCAGATCTCCTCGTGCAGACTGCCCTGTAAGAACGCGGTGCTGAAGTCCAGATAGTGGAGCTCGTAGTAACGCTGAGCGGCAACGTGCAGCAGCACCCGAAGAGTGGTCATCTTCGGGGTGGGGGAGAAGGTCTGGAAGAAGTCAACTCCCTGTCTCTGAGTGAAGCCTCGTGCAACGTAACGAGCCTTGAAGACAGGCAGAGAACCCGGCGGCCGCTTCACCCTGAAAATCCACATGCCATCGACTACGTTCGTCCCAGGAGGGGGAACTGCGTCGACGTAAGTGCCAGTGGACTTCCAGGATGCCATCTCTGCGTCCATGGCTGTCTGCCACTGAGAGGAGTACTCACCCGTAATCGCCTCAGCGTAAGAGCGCGGGGTCGGGATGTCTGGAGCATCCGGGTCTCCCTCAGGGTCAAGCAGCATGGCCACGAGATGAGGCGCAGCGGCTGCAAGACACTCAAAGTCCTCCTGCCTGTCCTCAAGGACGTCCGTGCCAAGAGCACACTCACCCCCGACGGAAGGAGGACAGACAGACTCAGACTCAGCAACAAGACTAGCGGCGTAGTCGAGACGACAAGCGGCAGCAAAGTCTACAAGCTCAGCAACTAGGGCAGACGCAGCAGCAGACTCAAACGACGGGTCAGTGACAACAGTGGCTAGCAGACGCGTGACAGTAGGACTGGCAGCACGAGCAAGGTCTGACGGCGGGTCAGCAACGTCAGGAAGAGAGGGCGCAGGAGGAGACCGCATGGGAACACGCTGTGGAACAGAGGAAGGACGAAGTGCCATAGTGTGCGTGCCGGGGACAGGAGGAGGACGCTCACGAAGAACACGACGACCAGTGCGACCAGTGCGAACAGGCGAGGCAAGACGGGACGCAGGCTCGCGACGCTCTGTAAGCGAGTCTGTCAGCTCAGTGTAAGAAGAAGGAGCAGGCAGTGGTGCGCCGGGCTGTAACGGGAGGCCAGTAGAAGACGGGAGGCTAAGAACCTGGCGAAGCACGGAGTCAGGCGGTGGCAGAGACGACGGTGATGGCGGAGTGAAAAACAGTCGCGGCGGTGCAGTGCCACCAGTACCAGTAGCTCCAGCGCCTCCAGCAGCTCCAGAACCTCCAGCTCCAGCG